GCCTACCAAGAATGGGCTATTAACTGGAATGTGCGCATCAATGCGGACAAATGTGCGAATGTGACTTTCACCAACCGTGCAGCTAGCTGTCCTGGGGTCAGTCTTAATGGTAGAGTCATTGGTCACCATAGAGCCTATAAATACCTTGGCGTTACCTTGGACCGTAAACTTACATTCGGCAGGCATGTTGCGAACATTCAGCATGCTTTTAAGGCTAAGGTTTCCCGGATGGCATGGCTCCTGGCACCCCGCAACAAACTATCGCTTTACTCCAAGGTCATGATATACACACCTGATCATATTAATAGGTACATACACAAATTATTTAATTTTAGATGGTTTTTTCGTACTTTAAGTGTTGACATCTTTAAAATTTTCGGTTATTTGTTATGGTCAATATCTGGCCACACTGTGACAAAGAGGTGAACGAGGGGAATCCCCGAATATCAAAGCTTTTCTATAAATTGTGAGTCAACCACACATTTCGCCTGATCATAATAATAGGTACAGTCTCCGTTTCTCATAAATAACAAGTGAATAATTTTGTAATCAGTGATTTTTTGGCAACTTAAGGTAAATTTCATATAGCTACTATCAATTAAGAGAATTAAATATTTATTTTTTTTTAGAAAAAATGGGTCGAAATTCTCATTGTACTAAAGAAGAAGCTCGATTGGTTCTTAGTCTGAGAAAAGATGGCAAATCTTTACGAGCTATTGCCAAATTAATGAAAAGGTCCCATAATTTTGTTAAAAATGCATTAGAAAGGAAACCAAGACAGGAATCCCGTGGAAGGCCAAAAAAAACAACGGAAACGCTTGACCACTACATAGTATCTTTAAGCAAAAAGGACCCATTTAAGTCATCGAAGGCTAATGCAGCAGATATTGGGAATTCAGTTAGTGCTCCAACTATCCGAAGACGACTACAAGATGCCAACCTACCAGGAAGAATTGCCAGAAAGGTTCCACTTATGCGCAAAAAAAATATCACCATGAGGCAAACTTTGCAAGGGACCACAAAGACTGGGTAGGATGCATCGGGGAGAAAAAGTGGAGAAACATTTTATGGAGCGATGAAACCAAGATAAATTTATTTGGGAATGATTGTGAAAGGAATGTTCGACGCCCTAATGGAAAGGAATTTCATCCACGGTTTACAAAGAAAACAATCAAACATGGAGGTGGTAATATAATGGTATGGGGTTGCTTCTCCTGGTATGGCGTAGGTCCAATTTATCAGACTACGAACAGAATGACTGCTGAAGAATACAAATCCATATTGGAAACAGTTATGGTACCATATGCTGAAGAAAATATGCCATTACGTTGGGTATTTCAGCAAGACAATGATCCAAAGCATACATCAAGGCTTTTATCTAAATTCTTTGAGGACCAAAAAGTTGACGTTCTGAAGTGGCCAAGCCAATCCCCCGACCTAAACGCCATAGAAAACTTGTGGGGAGACTTAAAAAAGAAATTGGCAAAGTATTCATTTTCAAATAAAGCACAATTATGGGATGGTGTCCAAAAATTGTGGTATGAGACACCAGTAGAAACCTGCCAGGCTCTTATTAAAAGTATGCCAAACAGAATAGCAGTAGTGACCAAAAATGGAGGTGGATACACTGGATACTAAGTTAGTAAATACAAATTTAGAAAAAAAAAACGCAAAATATATATTTAAATTTATTTTTCTCAGGGCACATAATCATTATAAGTAAAAAAATAAAAATCAACCATTAATGATTATCTATTGATTTTAAAATATTTCGCTTGCCATCATTGCATTCGACCTTCATCGAGTGCAGACGTGCTTACGGACGACCGCTACGCGGGGTTTATTCTCGAAGTGTTTTTTCATGGTGAAAAAGTAAATTCGGAACTCTACACTACGTACTGTCAGCTAGGCCAAGCCCTACAGTGCGTATGACATACGGACACTAGTGCGTGAGACGTGTTTTTGAGCTGCAAAGTTCATTTATATGGTGCCACGCGAAATAAGCTCAAAATAATGAGCGGCGATCAAAAGAATGAGCGTAGAACCTCTATAAACCAAAGAAACGGTTGCTTCACCTATTTCTCAACTCGCGATATCGAAGCAGAAAAAACGTCTACCAAGCCCAACCCGGCTCTACTGACCGCCGATGGCACGAGAGCGCGCTCTTGCTCCCCCGCCCTACTCATTCCAGCTCCTACATCTCGGAGCTCCCAATGCCAAACCCCACCACCATCGGCTTCGATGGAAGACGCACCAACAACAAGCAGAGCTGCAATTTCTGCAAACGCAGCAAAAGCAACAGCAACAACTAAACCAGCGACCAATATTGCGAAATCGGTGCCAACGGACGCAGCGCCAAATTCAATGGTAACAAAAACCGTGAACTCCGATAAGCAACAAGCGGTCCCGGCTATACAGACTGGCATGGATCGCTACATCCAAATTAAGCGTAAGCTTAGCCCACATAACACGGTTGGTAACAAGCCTAAGATCAACCGTGTCACCAAAAGCTACGACCCAAACAACACCAACAAATTTTCTCCGCTAGCAGCTGATGAGAATAACCAAGCAGAGCCGGAGCAGGAGACCCAAAAACAACCAAAGCCCCCACCCATTTATATTAGGGAGAAAAACTCAAACGGTCAACAAAATTGTTGCGCTGGTCGGGGACGGAAACTTTCACATTGTTCCGCTTATTAAAGGGAACATTTGCGAAACAAAAATTCAAACCAAAACAGAAGAACACTTTCGGGCTGTGTCAAAATACCTGGAAGATTCCAAAAAGAATTTTTACACCTACCAACTGAAAAGCAGCAAAGGACTGCAAGTCGTGTTAAAAGGAATTGAACCAGACGTCGCCCCCTCTGAGATAGTGGAAGCCCTGAAAGACAAGGGTTTCCTTGCCAAGAACGTCAGCAACATTATAAATAAAAACAAAAAGCCGCAACCACTATTCAAAGTCGAACTGGAGCCAGAAAGTAAAACTCTGAAGAAGAATGAAGTTCACCCGATCTACAAGTTGCAGTTCCTGTTGCATCGAAGAATCACCGTTGAAGAACCACACAAACGCAACAAATTGCCAGGAGTATGGACATACGAGGACATACTGCACCCTTCGGTCAGTCTGCGTAGTCTGTGGAGACTTCCACAATTCTGCACACTGCCCTGCGAACAAAGAAGACCCAAAATCGAAAAAATGCGGAAACTGTGGAGAAAATCACACAGCTAACTACAGAGGCTGCGTGGTCTACAAGGAGCTGAAGAGTCGCATGCGACGAGCAACAGCTACACGCCAACAAAATACACAAAATGTGTATTATAATTCAAAAACTACTCCAGATCTCTACAACAGAGTCTTCGCAGTGAGGTGCAACGCAACAACATCCGGCACCTATTCAATCGAAGCTGGAGTCCCACAAGGAAGTGCACTTGGGCCTACCCTATTTGTTCTATACACAGCGGATATCCCCACAAGCGACCAGCTAACATTATCCACTTTCGCTGATGACACTGCGATCCTCAGCCGTTCCAGATGCCCAGTCCGTGCAACAGCCCAGCTCGCCAACCACCTCAAGGTAGTCGAGAAGTGGCTATCTGACTGGCGTATCAAAATAAATGAATAAAAGTGTAAGCACATAACGTTCACTCTCAACAGACAAACATGCCCCCCGCTCTACCTGAACAGCACACTGATCCCCGAAGTCAACGTGGTAACGTACCTGGGCGTCCACCTGGACAGACGCCTAACATGGCGAAGACACATTGAATGCAAGAAAATCCATCTAAAACTAAAAGCCAGCAGCCTCCACTGGCTCATAAACTCCCGATCGCCCCTGTGTCTGGACTACAAGGTCCTGCTCTACAACTCCACACTGAAGCCAATATGGACGTATGGCTCCCAGCTCTGGGGAAAAAAAAAAAAAAAAAATTATTTACTTCATCGCTCAAAGAATAATAATTATTATTTTAAGCGAAAAAAATTCGATCAAAAAATAATGATCATTTTTTGAGCGATATTTTTTCGCTCAGAATTTCGCTCAATGTGTAATAACTTTTGGCTCAGAGGAGTCTTCGAAAATTTTTTTACATGCTTCAATGAATCGATTCGTACGTTTTTGATTCATAGAAGCATGTACAAATTTTTTCGAAGACCCCTCTGAGAAAAAAGTTATTACACATTGAGCGAAATTCTGAGCGAAAAAATATATGATTAAGCATCATCACAAGATGGGCAAGATGGAGTCTTATAACTCGACAACAAAGTGGTTGAAAGAATTTCAAACCAAAATTTGGAATAAATACAATAACGAAGTCTAAACGCGATTTATTAGTTGATCATATTAAAGTGGACATTGGTACACGGGTGTACGCCAAGAAACTAATAAATAATCTGATTTAAAAAAGATCATCACTGGAAAATTCATGAGGGAAAAAGTCCTAATCCCATGAATTCTGACGATTCTAAATGATTTTTTATCCCAATCCAAAAGAATTCAGTACCCCATTCTATTGCGATGATAAGCCTTATTGTTTGTCTATGGGGTTAATACGCATTGTACTTTTTGGCTTTTTGTCAGTGCGTTGCCTGACAAGCTGTCTTCGTTGTTTTTTAGGATCCTAAATCGAAATACATTGTTTGTTGTCCCTCTTTCTACTAACTTCAATTTGTAAACTGATTGTCTGCATTTATTGAAAAAGATATTCGTGTTACGTAATCACGCTCTACGTTCACATAACAAATCGATACATTTTCACGAGCTTATTCATCACCAGAAATGCAGTACAACAAATATCATACAGATATACCACCTCACATTCACTGTTATCCTTGAGTTTATCTAGAATTAGAACGAGATTAAGTTGGCTGGATTCAATAATAAAAATGTAAATACAAACTTCCAAGTAAAACTATATTTTCATTATTAACTGCTAACAATAATAAATTTTAAAGGCCGAAACTGATGCATGCGTAATAAGAACCATTTATCTGTATTTTTCAGACAAGAAGGACAGCGGCTTGGCTTGCAGCCAAAATGACATCTGATGGTCATTCGGTAGCGGTCCTGTCCGGAGATTTAACCGTTGAGCAAAGACTAGCTGTTTTAGATCGATTTCGTTCCGGCCTTGAAAAAGTACTTATAACTACAAATGTGTTATCAAGAGGTATTTAACATTTTCTATAATCGAAAATTAAAAAAATTATATATTTTCTTTTGGTTTTTAGGTATTGACATAGAGCAAGTTACAATTGTGGTTAACTTCGATTTACCAGTGGATGTTCGTGGCAACGCTGACTGCGAAACATACTTACATCGAATTGGGCGTACCGGGCGATTTGGTAAGATGAGTTAACACTTTAATTTTTAGACAAAGTATGCTAGTTCCGTCAAATCGACGCTATTGCCCGTACTTTAAAAGGATAAAAATGTTTCGTTAACCTTGCATTTGCAATGTGACTAAAACCGTTTCTTAACTTTGAACATTATTAGAAATGTATGAAGCAGTCTTGTACCACAAGAAATAAACTTATCTTTTGGAAGCCTAATTTTCTTTTATAGATTTGTATACCCTTGCAGGGTATTATAATTTGAATCAGAAGTTTGCAACGCAGTGAAGGACATTTCCGATATAATCGATTAAAAAAAAAAGAAAGGAAGCTAACTTCGGCACGCCGATGTTTGTTTACCCTTGCAGATTGCAATTGGATCATTAAGAATTAAGTTTTGAAGCTTTTTTTTTTTTGAATTTTAGAAAAAAAAATTATGACTTGGCTGTTTTTCAACATTTTTGCATCATTTTTGATGTTTGGCCATTTTATGGTATATTATTTCAGATTTTCGTTTTTAATTTCATGATGGATCATTGGATGGAAAATCTTAAAGCTGCCATACAAACGATTGGGAAATTAATAGAAAAAAAATTAGAACTTCGTTGTTTTTCAACGTATTTTGATTTACTCTGAGGTATAAGCTTATTTTATTATTTCAAAATTTTGGTATACATTTTATTAAAATCGGACAACTATATTATATAGCTGCCATACAAACGATTGGTAAATGTAGAGAAAATGTAAACTGTAAACATAATAAGTATAGGTAAAATGTAATAAAATAATATCTGCAAGGTATACAAACTTTGGCGTGCCGAAGTTAGCTTGATTTCTTGTTATATCAGGTTGTCTGGTAATGACATACCGGTTTCTTTATTGATTTTTGACGACGATATTAACATAGTTAGCATTGTCCGATTTTAGTGCTTTATGTACCGTTGTCTTCGATGATTTTCTGCCATTTTGATGGTAACTTCTCCTAAAGCAGTCCTTGTCCCTACTGGCAAAAAACTCAGCGATTCGATTTTCACAATCCTCCCTTGAACTCAATTTTTGTCCATCGAAAAAATTTTGCATGGCCAAAAACGGATGGTAATCGCTTGGGGCAATGTCCGGACTATAAGGTGGATGCATTAACACTTCCCAACAAAGCTCCCGTAGCTTGTGACGCGACACCAAAGATGTATGGGGCCTAGCGTTGTCATGATTGAACACAACGCCCTTACGATTCACCATGGCTGGCCGCTTCTGTTCAAGTGCAATTTTCAATCTCTCCAGTTGTTCACAGTAGAGGTCAGAATTGATGGTTTGGCCATAGGGCAACACTTCATAATGGATAATTAATTCCTCTGATATCCCACCATACACTCAGCAACACCTTCTTAGCCGTCAGTCCTGGCTTTGCCACCGTTTGAGACGACTCACCGTGCTTCGACTAGGATCTTTTACGCTTTATGTTGTCATATGTGATCCACTTTTCATCACCAGTGTCTAACCGATCCAGAAAAGAGTCGAATTTGTTACGGTGCAACAAAGATTCGCAGATTGATACACGGTTGAAAAGGGCTTTTTGGGATAACTTATGAGGCATCCTTACATCGAGCTTTTTGTTAAATTTTTTGACTTTAAATGCCTATGGACTGTTTCCGTGCTTAGTTGCAGCTCCTCTGCGATGGTTCATGACGATCTCGATCCACTATTTCCATGATTTTATCCGTATCAACGGTCACTGGTCGTCAGGAAGGCTTGGGTGTTTCGGTATCAAAATTGCCACTTCAGAATCGCCTAAACAACTGTTCGGCGATTTGAATCGAAAGTTTGTTATCTCCTAAGACATCAATAATCTGTCGGCGAGATTCCGCAGCAGTTTTTCCCTGTGCGAAATAAATTTTAAAACTGCCCGAATTTCTGCGTTTGTGAACTCCATTTCAATCGATTATAACTTTTTAACGTGGAAGCTCATGTAAACAATCTATATATCATTTTAAAGGTGATACCAATACCTTTCAAACGAGATACTACGTTGCCATGTACGATTATATTTGACTTCACAAGCGAAGTGCGAAATTTTAATGTATAAACCGGTATGTCATTACCAAACAGCCTAATATTAGATATTTATATCTAAAATATAGTTTTTTTTTGCGATTAAACAATCTTTTTTTTTTTAATTTTATAAAAATCAAAATATCATATGCTATGCACAAAAATAAACATTATATATTTCCTTTTATTTTGTTATATTTGATTAGAATGGATCGATTCTTAATGATCCAATTGCAAACTGCAAGGGTACAGCTGTGTTCACTGAAATAGCAGTGCCCCACGACCTGCACGTTTAAGATTGGAAAATACTATTACAAACACTATTTTCATACAATTTTTTTTCATAAAGGCTTAGTGTATTTAATTATTAACAATACCACAATCATTTAATTTAGGTAACATAAACCTTTTAGAAGATATAGCTAATAACAACAAAAAAGATCTATATTATGCCGTTCATTGTTGAAATAGCAGTGAAAAACTAAAATTCTTTATAAATTTAAAAATATCGTATAAGAAACCTATTTCTTCTTAAATTCTAATTGACTATGATCTAATATTTTGTTAAATAGCCTTTAGAAGCTATCATAGCCTCATACCTGGGTGGCAAGGAGTCCACCAAGTCTTAGCAACGCTTGAGAGGAATATGGCCTCATTCCTCCTGCACAAATTGCCGAAGCTGCGGCTTAGAAGTCGGAAACTTCTTTAATACGTAACCCTAGATGTACCCCATAAGTTTTCGATCGAATTTATATCCGGGGACTGTGCAGGCCATGGCATTGCATTCACTTTTTCATTAAGAACCCACTCCTTGGCCACCTTGCTGGTATGATTAGGGTCACTGTACTGCTGAAATGTCCAAATTAATGGCATATTTTCCTCAGGATACGGCTGAAAGACAGTTTTTAATATTTGGACATAAACATAATGGTCTTTGATCCCACCGATATATACGGGACCTACAACGTTGTATGAAAAGTATACCCATACCATGATTTTAAGGCCACCGTGCTTTACTGTCTTCAGCGTGTGGTTTGGGTGGTACTTTGTATTTGGAGGTCGACGGACATATTGTCTTGTCCTATTCCACCAAATAAAACCAGTTTGGAGTCATTTGTCCAAAGGATATTACGCCATTTGAATACTGGCAGTTCAAGTGGCTATTGGCGAACTCGGATCTTTAACCAAGCAGTGTCATTTTCCATGGACTTCGCGAATCTAAAATTTATTCAATAAGTCCCCGGCAAATGGTCCCATGACTGATTCCCATCCCAATTCCCGCTCATATATCCCTAGAGGATGCAAAAGGACGAGCTTTGCTGAAGCGAAGTACGCGTCGAGCCTGTACAATTGTGGTTTTGCGAATCGTACCTCGGTTTTTTGGGTTCGGTTCATATTTTATGATTTATAAACTATTTTAAAATTACAATTTGAAAGATTTGGAGTCTCTTTACATGTTTTGCCCTTCTTTTTAGGATAAGTTATCTAATACCTTTCTCTCATGGAGCAGTGAGGTCCTGCGCCCACTAATATCATTTTTTTTGCGTTGTAAAGGTGTATTATAGTATAAACTATAATAAGTTCCTTAATTTAACTCATTTTTTACAAAATTAATAGAAATTTCGGCACTTTTTGCAAAAGAAATTCAAAAACTGCTATTTCAGTGAACGGTCAAATCGAGCTGCATATATGAAAATATATCAATAAAACATAAAAATAGAGCAAATCTAACGGAATTTTTTCTCGATTCTTATCTTTATGTTCCATTTTACAAAAACAATGTGCAATAGATCAGCTAGCAAAAAGGAATATGTACAAAAAAACGTCTTGAAGTTGTTCCTCTGTCGCACTGCTATTTCAGTGAACACAGCTGTATATAAACTTCGGCGTGCCGATCTTTACTTTCTTTCTTGCTTGTCCTATATATTACGTATGCTATAGTTATAAATTTTTAGATATTACGAAGTTTTTAATATTGATTACCCACTCCTGTGATTAGAAAAACCAGCAGACAATCCCAGTTGTCAGCGGATATCTGGGAATGTGCTAGCGGTGTCAAACTCCTGAATCGTAGACTGTAAATCCTTTACCGCATGACCAGATTCTTGGGATATGGAGCTTAAGTTAAACAGGAGCTTGATTAAAAGTCGTTTATTTTGGAAACGATCTTGAAGCGCTTCCCACGCCTAGGAGAGCCCGTCATTAGTAAGAGGGGATTTGGATAGAATGGCTTTTGACTCACCGCTTGTTTTCATGAGAAGATGAAACAGCTTCTCGACCGGTGTCAGCCTAATTTAGTTGACATATATATTCCGGGGGTTCCTGAAGACTGATTGTTTTGGAGAGTGTTCGAATGCGTATTGGAACCGTATGTACTTATGATCTGAGAAGGATTGTCTCTCAAGGACTCTCCATTCTGATACCAAAGTACCTTGTCCCCTTACCAGAGTAAGATCTAGCACGTTTGAGGAGGTGGGACCTACATAGGTGTGTTCCTCCCCCAAGTTTGCTATACTCAGGTTGGTTGAGAGTATAAAATCTTAGAGGGACTCACCTCTGTCGTTTACCCAGTCCCATACGCCCATACGCAGTGGTGCGCGTTGGCGTCTGCACCCACGAGCAGTTGCTGGTCCTTCGGGCTGGCTTCTACCAAGCTCATGAGTTCTTCTGGTGGGGCCGTTCTGACGTGTGCCATGTAGCAGGAAGCTACCAAAAGGCGCTTTTTCCCGCTCTTTGGCATCACCACGGTCAGGTCATCAGAGCTGTAGTGAGACATAAGGTTAGCGTATAGACCCTTCCGTACAAGTACGGCGGTTCTATTCCTGCTTACCGTTGGTGGATGGAGCAAATTGTAATTTGCGGACTTCAGTCCGGCGATGGCATTGCCTGAGGCGATCCATAGCTCCTGGACCAAAGCTATGTCAGCGGATCCTTGCTCCATGGCTATGAGGAGTTCCGCCGAC